TATTTAATATTTAAGATAAAAATAATATGTTTTTTAAAAATTAAAACCAAATTGTGCTAATCTTTTTGATAAAAAGTAATATCATATGATTTTTTAAAGGTTGATAAATAATAAATAGATTATTCTTTAAATATTCAAAAACTTAAATAAAAAGATGATGAGTTATTTTATGAATTTCGAAAGTTGCAGAATGATCGATGATATATATTTTATGAAAATACAGATAAAATGAAAAAATATTGGTTATTATTTGAATTTTTAAGGTTTTTATTTGATTTATTTATGACAAATCATACAACTAAATACATATGATTGAAATTTATAAAGTTACAAAATAAATGATATATTATTTTTTAATAAATAATCAGACATAATGTATGTTCAGTGTAGTTTATTTAAAATTTGTTTTTACGCATAATATAAATAAAATAATAATTATATGCACTAATTATTATTATTGTCTCATAATAAAAAAGGAAAAAAAACAAAGAGAGAGGGAATGAATGGAATTATGTTTGTTTTTTTTTTCTGATTTTTGGGTTATATGATGTCAATTTTTAGAACTTTTTGATTTTTTAATTGCATTGTTTATAGGTAGGAGGTGCAAATAGCAATCCCATTAAGTTTTTATTTAATATATATTTTTAATTAAAATAATTTATTTAAAACATTTGTTATATTTTTTTTGTCAAAAATCACATGTGATATCGACAGTTAATCGACATTTTTTTCCAAAAAGAAAATCACTAATTTTCATCATGATATCAAATGTGACATGGTCATATTAAATTCACATTAAAAAATATTTTTAATTTATCTACAACATCACATGTGATAAATGTAAATTATGAATTCCATTTTGAATCACATATGATCTTATCTATACTATATTATAAAGCATTTGACAAAAACTCTTAAAAACTATTTTTTATGCATGAAATACTATTTATCAATGCATATTACTTAAAATTTAATATTACAAGTAAACTGTGCGTAGATACAACTTATTAAAACTCTATTTTTGAATTCGTATAACTAACTGCAGATAAATATAATCAAATACGGGTAAACATAATCAAATATAGGATAAAAATCTTATTTTAAATCAAAAAAATATAATATAATTAAGATAATCATTGAGTTCTAACATAATTATTATCTTTATAGAAATTATATTGTTAAGTCAAA